TTTTTATCCATATTTCGTACCACAGAAAATAATGAACAATAAAAATGTGGAACATAGACCTAAATATAAAACTTAAAACTATAAAACTTCAAGAAGAATAAAAGGAGAAAATCTTTATGATTTTGGCTTAGGCTAAGATTTCCTATATACAACAGCAAAAGTGTGATCCATGAAATAAAAAAATAAATAAAAAATTTGAGCTGATGAAAATTAAGGGCTTCTGTCTTTGAAAAAGAATGTGTGAGGACATAAAAAACAAAGAAGACAAACACTGGGAAAAAATTGTCATTCACATATTTCAAAAATTTAAAAAAATTAAAATTAAAATTAAAATACACACTCACACCCACACTAAAACCACGCTTTGTCTTCCACGCCCTAGTACCACAGGATAGCTGGTGTGGGCTTGTGGAAATTGTATTCTCTGAGACCACAAACTCTCTGAGACAGACCCTGCTCCAGTCTGTGCTTTAAGGAGAAAGGGGAGAAAAATTTCCTTGAGTTCTTGGTCCTTTCTAAGCATGGTTTTTCTGTGTCCCAGTGCACCTAGGACTAGTATGGTCTTGGGGACCCTGGGCTTGCCAAGATCATAAGTTTCTGTGCCAGCCTGACCCAGCAGTTATGGCATTAGGAGCCACTAATTATGGCATTCCAACCCATCCCTTCTGATATTCAAACCCTGCTCCAGTCTGGGCTTTTAAGGTAGATGAGAAGAAGAGAGATTTCCCATAGTCCTTAGCCCTTTTAAACCCCAGGTTCTTTTTTTGTGCTGCAGCACAACTAGGGCTTGTGGAATCAACTCAACTGGGTCGTGTGGACCATGAGCTCACTAATGCAACCAGACCTGCCCATTATGGTGTCCAGATCCTGCTCTGATCTAGGCTTTTAAGGTGGGGTGGGAACATAAACAGTGTGTTCTCCAGTCCCTTATACTGGGAGAGTATCCCCTCAGTTACTCCACAACCTGGCAGACTTCTAGTGTTTTCTATTTATATGTTCTTTTAAACAGAGATTTTTTTTTTCCATACCCAAAGACAGAGGGATCTGTTCCCAGGCTGTCTCTCCCTATAGTGTTTGCAGCCTCAGGTGTGGAGTTTCCCTCTGTTACAGTGTCTCCATTATCTCTTGCTGTTCCATTGCCATTCTATCTATCTGTGGTTGTTCAGTAGTTGTTTAGTTGACCTTCAGTTCTTCAAAAGGAATTGTTCTATTAATGGGTATATTTTTGTGTGTTCTGTGGAGGAGGTGATATCAGAGTATTCCTATGTCACTGTCTTGAATCAGGACCCTCCTATTAGAATGGTTTTAAAACAAACTGTATCAAGTCTTGATAAAAATGGGATGAATAGTGTGACTGGGTGTCTCAGTTGGTTAAGTGACTACCTTCTGCTCAGATCATGATCCCAGGGTCCTGGGATCGAGTCCTGCTTCAGGCTCCCTGCTCAGCACAGAGTCTGCTTCTCCCTCTGATCTTCCCCCTCTCATTCCCTCTTTTCTAAATAAATAAATAAAATTTTAAAAAAGAAAATGTGATGTATAAATGGAATTCTTTTTTTCCCAGTTTTTTTTTGAGATGTAACTGACATATAGCAATGTAAGTTTAAGGTGTACAGTATAATAATTTGACTTACATATATTATGATTGCCACAGTAAGTTTAATTAACATCCATCACTTCATATAGATACAAAAAATAGAAAGAAAAAAATGTTTTTTTCCTTGTGATGAGAACTCTTAAGATTTACTCTTGTAAAAACTTTCAAATATACCATATAGCCATTTTAACCTCAATCATTATGCTGTACATTAGACCCCTAGTATTTCTTTATCTAATAGCTGCAAGCTTGTGCCTTTTGGCCACTTCACCCAATATCTTCTTCCCCAAACCTCTGTCTCTGGTAACCACTAATCTGATCTCTTTGTGTATATATATCTATTTTAAGGTTCCACATATAAGTGAGATCATAAATTATTTATATTGTCTTTCACTGCCTGACTTACTTCACTTAGTCTAATGCTCTCAAGATCCATCCATGTTGTCATAGTTGGCAGGAATTCTTAATTTTTTTATGGTTGAATAACATTCCATTGTATACACACACACACACACACACACACACACACACACACACACACACCCGAATCAAACTTCTTTATCTATCCCGCTGTCAGTGGAAGCTGGGGTTGTTTCTATATTTGGGCTATTGCAAATAATGCTTCAGTGAACATGGGGGTACATAAAATTTTTTGACACAGTGTTTTCATTTCCTTCTAATACATACTTAGAAGTGGAATTGCTGGATTATATGGTAGTTCTATTTTTAATTTTTTAAGGAAACTCCAAACTGTTTTCAGCAGTAGCTGTAGTAATTTTCCATCCTATGAATGGTGCACAAGGGTTTCCTTTTCTCCACATCCTTGTCAGCATGTGTTACCTCTCATCCTTGTGATGATGGCTGTTCTAACAGGCATGAGGTGATATCTCATTGTGGTTTTGATTTCTATTTCCCTAATAGTTATTGATGTGCAAATGGAACTCTCATACACTGATAATGAGGATGTCCAATTATACAATGACTTCAGAAAAGTGTTTGGTAACTTCTTGAATTGTTAGGCCTACACCTACCATCTGATCAGTCTCTATACTCCTAGATATTCACCAAAGATAAATAAAAACATGCCCATAGAGAGACTTATGTACAAATGCCTATAGTAGTGTTAATTGTTACAATCAGGAGTAACCTAAATGACCCTCAGCAAGTGAATGGATAAACATATCCAAACAATGGGACAGTACTCAGCTCAGCAGTAAAAGGAGTGATCCGGTGATATAAACAGCAACATACAAAAATCACAAAGAACTTATTCTGATGAAAAGAAGTCACCAAAAAGCACACATACTCTATAATTCCATTACTCAAAATTTTGGAAAATGCAAACTGATCTATAGTGACAGAAAGGATGTCAGTGGTTACAAGGAGATATGGTGGCAAAGAACATTGAGGAGGAGAGAATACACACCATCAAAAGCAAACTTTTGAGGATATGGATATGTTCACTATTTTGAATGTGATGATTTCATGAGTTTATACATATGTTAAAAATTAATATATTGTTAACTTTAAATATGTGCAATCTATTCTATATTAATTATAACTCAATAAAACTACTATTGCCAGAACTTCTTGCAGGATATTCAATTAGTTTATTAAGAGTTATTTAAGAGTCTTTTTTTTTTTTTTTTTGACAGAGAGAGATCACAAGTAGGCAGAGAGGCAGGCAGAGAGAGGAGGAAGCAGGCTCACTGCTGAGCAGAGAGCCCGATGTGGGGCTCGATCCCAGAACCCTGAGATCATGACCTGAGCTGAAGGCAGAGGCTTAACCACTGAGCCACCCAGGTGCCCCCTATTTAAGAGTCTTAAAGTAAAGGAAAGATATACCACATTCTTGGATTAGAATACTAAAATTATAAAGTGGTCAATTCTGAAATTTACTTAAAATGTGATATAATAAGCATCAATACCAAATACCGAATACCAAAGTAGCTGATTGCAGACATTGAATGTCAACTAATTCAGCCAGACTTTATGGGTATCAAGATAGTGCATCTAAAGAGAACAATTTACGGTAACTCTGATGTTCATATTTCCACATAACTGATTCCATTTTTCTCAGGGCTAAATCCCAAGCAGAAAAAAACAGCTCAAAGTTTTAGATAGTCTCAATGGGCGTAGAGCGATGAAACTGGAGTCCAGCAAAAAATAAGATGATGAGGACTGAAGGAAACAATGTAACAGAATAAAAAGAATTACAGAGTAGTGAGTCTGATATTCTGAGCCACTTTTCTTCTCCAAGTGTTTCTCTTCAAAGCCATCATGTATAGGGCATAGGGTCAAGAAGCCAAGTGAAAACAATAGCAAAAAGCCTTAGAAAACACATAAAGCCTGAGTGGCTCAGTGGGTTGAGCGACCAGTTCTTGATTTCAACTCAGGTCATGATCTCAGGGTCATGGGATCGTGAACCACATTGGGCTCTGCACTTGACAGGGAGTCTGCTTGAGATTCTCTCTCCCACTTCCTTTGTGCCTCCCCCTCTACTCATGCTCTCTCTAAAGAATAAATAAATAAACAAATAAATAAATCTTTTTTTTTTTAAAGAAAATACCTAGAGATTATTAGTCTCATAGTGGCAGGTAACAATAAAAGCAGAGTCCTAAAGCTGAGACCCATACAGTTGACACCTTAGAAGAGGCCCTTTTGAAGTAAAAATCGGAAAGATATCACTCTTTGCAATGACTGAAATACAACCTGAAACATCTCAATTCCTGATTAGGGCAGTGATCCTCCCCCATGGAAAATCTCTGCCAAAACAGGATTAAATCCATTTTTTGAAGAAAGATAGTATCACCCATAGCTTCTACAGATTTTTATTCTGTAGGACAACTATTGAGTGAAAAGTATCAGGCTTCAAGTCCAAATGATAGAAGAATAAGGGAATAAAAGACAACAGAAAGAGACCCAGGGGAGAAATAGATATTGGTTATTATTAGGCATAGACTTTAAATTTCTTTTCTTATTAACATGTGCAACAATATTGGTTTCAAGATTGGGAACATTACTAAAGAAATGGGATCTCTACAAAGGATCAAATAGAAATTCTGAAACTCAGAAGTATAAAGACAAAAATCAAAGGGTGCAAAAGATACATAGAATTAGTTTCTATTGACTTAGATAAACCAATGAAAATCATTCAGATGGATACAAGGAAGGAAAACAAAAAAGCTTTAAAAATTTAGAAGAATTTGTGGCACCTGGGTGGCTCAGTGGGTTAAGCCTCTGCTTTTGGCTCAGGTCACGATCTCAGGGTCCTGGGATCGACCCCCTTCCTCCTCTCTCTCTCTGCCTGCCTCTCTGCCTACTTGTGATCTCTGTCAAATAAATTTAAATAAAAAGAAAAAGAGCTTAAGAGGAAGGAGCAGAGAGTTGGGGACAGTAAAATCTCAAATGACGGAAGCTCTCAAATGGTGTGATTAAATTTAGATAAACCAGGATAATCCCCACGCCGGATCCTTAACTGAATCACATCTGCATCATCCTTTTTCCCTGCAAATTAACAGGTGAGAGCTCTAGGGATTAGGACCTAATATCTTTGGTTTGTTGTTTTTCACTCTACCACAATCTGGAAGGGATAAAATTCCAAGTGGTCATGGTCATCTGGATACCACAACAGAACTATAAAAAGGGAGCTGTAAGGAGAAGGCTGTGGAATCCACACATTTGTGGAAGCTGCTACCTAGAGGGGAATTGCCATCTGTGAGGAAGTGGCTGTCTCTGTGGAAAATGGTTTCTCCACAAAGCCCACTGTCTCTCGGGAATCACGTTTCTGTGGAAGCTGCTGCTTTGTGGGACTGCAGTCATGACTCTGGGGTAGAGCTGGAGGTGCTGTGGGTTGGCAGAGTAAGAAGTCAGAAAGACGAAGTAACTGGATGTGGAGAAGGAGGAGATAGATGATGACGTGGAGTCTACCTGGCACTTCAGCATCCACCTGTTGTTCTGTTTGACCTCAGCATCCTTCTGAGAGTAACGATCTCTGTCTTGGTTTTATCTTTCAGAGTTCCCCTCATGGCCCAGTTCTGATAAACACAGGGAAAGGGATTTGTGCGAAATGGATTTCCCAGACAGGAATTTTGGTGCTAGTTTGACCACAGAAAAATCCAGCATATTCCACATTTCTGCTGACATTTAGTATTGCCAGCCTTTAATTTCACCCATTTTGGTAGGCATACTGGTACCTCACTGTATTTTTATTTTCAATATTTTTTTTTTCTGGTGAATAATGATGTTCATGACCTTTTATATGCTTTAATGGCCATTTGAATATTTTCTTTCATGAAGTGCCCCTTCAAGTCTTTCTGCCCATTTTTTAATTAGAGCTTTTTATTATTGATTTGTAGGCGTTAATTCTATCCTGACTACTAGTCCTGTATAAATTTGGATATGCATGTGTTATACTAATTCAAATTCAAACTGAGCCTTTCAAAGCCTACAACTTGTATCTTTGCTTCCTTAACACTATTCTTATTTTGAATGAAGTCTAATTTTCCTATGTTTTTTATTGTTAGTGTTTATTTCATCTTGTTTAAGAAATCTTTGTCTGCCATAAAGCCATAACTGTATTCTGTTAGGTTTTAACTAGAAACGTTATACATTTGTTTAAAGACTTATTTATTTGAGGTGTGCCTGTCCAACTCAAGGTTGGGCTCCCTGCTCAGTGGGGAGTCTGCTTTTCCCCCTCTCTCTCTTTCTCAAATATAGATTTATTTATTTGAAAGAGAGAACAAGTCAGGAGAGAGGTAGAGGAAGAGAGAGAATCCCAAGCAGACTCCCTGCTGAGCTCAAAGCCCTAGAGGAGCTACATGGATCCCTAACATGGGGCTTCTCATGGGGCTTGGATCCCACCACCCTAAGATTATGATCTGAGCTGAAATCGCAAGTTGGATGCTTAACTGACTGTGCCATTCAGGAGCCCCTAACTAGAAGCTTTATATTTTGAACTCTCATATTTAGTTCTATGATCCATTTTTTAAAAATGTTTATGTATGGCACAGGGTCGATATGAAGTTTCACTTATTTCCATGCAGATATCCAACTGCTTCAGCTCCATTTATTGAAAAGACCACCACTTTCTACCTCTAATGGCAGGGACAAATTTTTTAATATATATGTAAGGTAATTGTATGCATGTCTTTTTTTGGAGGGGGGCTATATCTGGTCTTGTGGATGTATCTCTATTCTGGTATGAAATTAAACTGTTTTTATTATTACGGCTTTAAAGTAAATCTTGATATTCAGAATCGTAATTTCTCCAAAGATCCTTCTTTCCAATGTTGTCTTGGCTATTCTAAATCCTATGCATTTCTATGTTAATTTTAGAATTAGGATATCATTTTTTCAAAAAAAATCTATCTGTTATATTCAGGGATTGTGTTTACTCTGTAGGTAGATTTGGGAGACTTTATATTCCAAGAATAGAGAGTTCCTATTCAAGTACATGGTTATTCTCCAGTTATTAAGGTTTTCTTTTATTTTGTCAGCAACACTTGAAGGCATGGTTTCCCAGCAAGCAGATTCTGAAATCAAGATTATTGTGTTGGAGGTTTATTAGGGAGCGCTCTTGGTATCACCACCTGTGCAAGAGAGTTGAAGGAAGCAGTACTGGGCAGAAAGTTTTTCTAATTTTATTACATTTATTACTATTTTATTTTTGGGTCCTCTTATAAATGGTATTTTTTTTTAATTTTTCATTGTTTACTGCTAACCTTCAGAAATATAATTGGTATTTAAACATTGAGATATTTTAAGACTTTATCCAATAACCTTGATAAAATATATATTTTAATAATTTATGTTTTATCATTTATATATATAGTATATATATACACACAATTACATTAGCTATAGATAAAAATGTCTTATATCTTCCTTTCTCAGTTTTTATATTTTTAAATTTATTTTTCTTGCCTTATTTTACTTCTAGGACTTCTAGTAGACAGTAGAGGTTACTGAATAAAAATTACTGACAAAGGCCATTCTGATCTTGTTCCAGAGCTCAAAAGAGGAAACATTCACTTTTTTACCAAAGGTAATTTATTAGGTTTAGAGTTTGTTGTTGGTCGTTTTTCATTTGGTTTGTTTTTTTCTCTTCTTTTAATATCAATGTTTATCAGATTAGGGACACCTTGTGTTTCCAGTTTTCTTAGAGATTAGCTGTTAAATTTTATCAAATGCTTTTCTACATCTATTAAAATAATAGATTTTTTCTCTCTCTTATTTTTTTTCTAAAATGTAAATCAATTTGTATGGCTAGAATAAATTCCAGTTGGTCATGTCATCATCCTTTCTATATATTCCTAGATTTCATTTTCCCTGGTGTTCTGTAAGGTTGGCATTTTCCTTGTTTATCCCTGGAAAAGCAGGAAAAGTTAGCTTCACTTTTCTATATGTTCACCCAACACACTGTATTTATGGTCAACAGTATCGGGGCTGTATCCAGATAACAAGGTATGACTTTGGGTTCCTTCCACTCAGCAAACTAGGAGAAAGAAATGTACAGAGTTAGGAGACAGAGATTTAGTCTCACAGCTTCTTTATTGCTTTTGTGTGACCTGCAAGATGTATGCTCCCTAAAGTTGCCTGAATCACAGGATAATAGAGAAATACCTGCACTAACTATATTTTCCATCTGGTATTTCACTCAGTAGTGTGCTCTTAACCTCCACTGGATTAGCCAGCTTCTCGCATATAAACTTCATTCTGAAAGTACAGTCTTCATAGTAAACATATTGTGTATTTATATACCCACAAAACATTCTATCATTTACGTCATTTCTCCTTTGTGTAAGCCTGAAAGAGAAAATAAAGAATTACAATTAACAAGTCAAACATTTCAAACACATCCACAGAAAAAAACTGCTTTTCCAATATATCATTGCTTCTAGGTCTGCATTGTCTAAAATAAATTTTAATCATTATTGGGACTATCGAGAGTGTCCAAGTTACTTATATTTATCAACAAATATGCAGTAGTAAACACTGCCTTACTTCAGTCTGCCTTTTCCACTTTTTTACATCTGGACTATTTGTTCGCCTTTACTCCCAGATGTATAACTTCCCTTCCCCAATAGTTAATATGATTTAGAATAATACAGTTCTATTAATTCTCCAGTCTGGCTCCTGTAGCAAATCTTTGACACTGTCTCTTCAAATATTTTTTTGTAATCATCCAAGCTTGGAATTAACCTAATATATGACACTTTTAGTTCAACATAATCTCCAGGTAACATTTCCTTCTAACCATTTTTCAAAGATTTTATTCTGACATTCTGAATAATTACCAGCCCCTAAAATAAGATTACTAAGCAGGGACTAGGCATCAAAGACAAACTTATAAATTGAAAATATTATCTTTTGGGAAAAATGTACTATTAAATATTTGGGTCCATAAATAATGATCATTAATAAATAAATAACTTTATCAATTAAATTTTGAAAAGTGAGATTTCCTATTTGAAGTGGCATCATACAGATGTCATTGATCACAACACCTTTCCAGAAACAAGTCCCAGAATAACATTAAGAATAAAAAACAAAAAGAAATACATATATGATAATATATTATACACATATATAATGTATTATATATACATATATTATATATTTTTATTTTTGTATTATTTTTTAATTATTTGAAATATATACTGTGTTTTCTATTCCACTATAGATTACCTTCCCATTAGCCATAATTACAAATAAACACGTAGAAATTCTACCTTTTCAAAACAAGATTCCATCTGTACTCTCTGTGATGTGCCCACACTACCCTTACTCCTAGTCCCTTCACTCCAGATGAGATCTTTAAAATATACCTCCTTTTGTCCTCCATTTGTATACATATTATCCCCTGTTCTGTCCCATCATTGTTAACTGAAAATACAAAGCTGCCTTGTCTTTTGGACTCATATTCTTATATTTACTATTTCTGTCTGAAGGAAAATGCAAACAAAACAAAACAATCAAAACTTGTATTTGCTTCTCGCCCACAGTGGAGAGTATGCAGGAATCCCAGGGTTTAGATTTAGTGGTAGTTTTTTGCATTATTAAACATTAAAGAAGCCTGATAGAAAAGAGTTATTTAAGGATGCAATTTCAATTGAAGCTAGTTTTAATTGTAATCAATACTGCTCCCAGGGAAAACACCTTTACTCAAACCAACCAGAAAAATTCAGTAAGAATAAAGACTTACCAGTTGGAGGGGATAATTGTCTCATCCAGGTTTTGGTAATCTTGATATTCTCTGTTAGATAATCCCAGCCAGTAACTACGTAATTTCTTGGATTTTATAAATTCCTACAAGAAATAGAGATGTTTAAAAAAATTGTCTCCCCTGCAAAATAATAGCTATCTCCCATTTCTGTACATTACTTCACAACATAATTTCTTACAAATTACTGTTTTAAGGTAATATTTCTGACATTACACTATTTTTGATGCCATTAGAAAAAAATCAAAATGAAGTGCTCCTTATTGTAAGATTTCCTCCAACAGTTATATATCAGATACTGTTTCACAAGTAAAACTATCTACCAAACCATGCATTTCTTTAACTTAGAGGCAGTGAATGTCACAAACTTCAAGATTCAAGTATCCAGCAGTAGTCAGTCTAGGAGCAAAAAAGGTGGTTAATCACTACATACACAAGTTAATAGAAACCGAAAAAGTAGGAGAAAAATGTAGCAAAGTCTGATGAGAAGTGGTTATAGAATAGAGATCCAGTCCAAAATTTTATAGGCAACATAAGTTGTTTTTCCCTCATAATCCAGACATTTTTTTTGAGTAAATAACTAAGAATGGATCAGTTGACAATGATGAGAGGAGGAAGAAACTATGGTTTGATTTTCCCTGCAACTATAAAGGAGGAACCAGATTCTTACAGTAAGGAAGCTGACACTTTTGTGAAAATGAATTTTTTCCTTAAATAATATGGGAATACTATTGGAGAGACCAGAAATGCAGAGGAATAAGTAAAATATAGAGATACTACTTAAATATTAGAAAAAATAAAATAAATAAATACGTATAAACATAAATAAATCTTCCAGAGAACTCATTTTCCTGGGACCCAGGGAGTCAGTATAATATGTCTGCTTGACGCTTGCCTTTGACATCCCATCTTAATTCTACCTTTTTATACATATTTTACCCAAGCTATGTTTTTATTCTAGTATATGTTGGCTTTTTCTGTTAGTTAAAAAAGACAAAATGATAGAAACAAAGAATCTTCTCCTATCTAGATTTTATAGAATTGGTAACCTTCAGGAATGATTTCCAGATCTTCCGCTTTTAGATAAATTCTCAGAAATTGTGCTCTGAGAGTTGATCCTAAAGTTCCAGTCTGGAAATGCTCACAGACCTAAAGATTCTGGATACCCCATGTCTACACACCTGCCCAGCCGCTGAGATTCCACTGACATTAAGTACCTAAGCTAACATTCTATTTTATTTTATTTTATTTATTTTTTTAAAGATTCTATTTATGTATTTGACAGGCAGAGATCACAAGTAGGCAGAGAAGCAGGCAGAGAGAGAGGAAGGGAAGCAGGCTCTCTGCAGAGCAGAGAGCCCGATGTGGGGCTCGATCCCAGGACCCTGGGATCATGACCTGAGCCGAAGGCAGAGGCTTTAACCCACTGAGCCACCCAGGCGCCCCTAAACTAACATTTTAGATGATACCTTGGCTAATCTACACGGTATGGTAAATGTACTAAGTCTCAGTCACCTCATACCCTAACTTAAACTCGTGTCTGGATTAGTACAAATCTTCCCCAACATGCCTCATTCCTCTCTATTCTATGATGGGAAAAGTGACTTCCTTCTTCATAGGCAGAAGATCCATGGGACCTTACCAACACACTTTTGTTCTTAATCGTCAGCAGGCTGGCATTTTGAGCAGAACAGAACATGACACTCTTTTGCCATGTTTCATAATGGTCACTTAGTGTGTAACAGCTGTCCTCATGCCACATCCATGCCTTTGGACAAGGTTTACATTTGTGCTCTGGAAGAAAAACATAGTTTCATTTGGTTTGTGTTGATAATCCTCATTATTTTTATTATTTCCAAAGTCTTCTATAATAAGTTAACCAAATTTACTTCTCTTTCTTCTTCTTACATGAAAAGTGAAGAAAATGCATCCTGTATTCCTGGTCCCTAGATACCACCACAATATGTCCAAAACATAATCTGAACAACACATTCTGAATTAAACATCTGGTGTATTACAGTGTGTTTTCTTACCTCAGGAGTCCTAAATAATGATTAATTAACTTCTTTCTCTATTTTTTTTTTCATTTTTTGTACTACTACATGGCAATAAAGGCTAATCACAAAAACATTGTTTGGTAAGAATCTACCCCCCAAACCTACATCAACCTTGCCTTCTCCAACTACAGTGTTTCTGGCTGCCTGATGTTGAATATTTGGGAGAGTTCTCAAGAGCACAAAGAATATATTTTAGTTATAATAGCTATAGAAACTGTTAGAGATAATTCAAAAGCCAATTCTTCCTCATTCCATAGGCAAGGCTTAACTATTTCTTTTCTATGGACTCTCCTCAAACATTGACTGAAATGTAGGATAAGGTCACCTTTAAAGATGAGACCTATCTTCTCTTCTTATCCTTTAAAAAGGGTATAAAGAGGTGCCCTCTCCTCTCCTCCCTAATTTCTATTAACCTCAGTGCCCAAAATAACAGTAGTAGATGTCAGATTAGAGAAACTTCTAACTGCACAGAAATATCAGTGAGTCCTCTGTCAACTACATTTAATTCCTGTCTCCAAATAATGGCATCCTGGGGGGAGGCTGCCAGCTATTGATGAATGAGTCTCAAGTAACTCCTAAGTTTTGTTCATTGTCTAATAAATAGCTTGAAGAGGAATATAAGATTACCTGGTTCTCTTTTATACAGCTCATGACATAATTTGGTGGCTATTTCCTGCAGTGTGATCGACAGGTCCCTGATCATTTTGGAACTATTCTTGTTATGTATCAGTTGCAGAGAAACATTTTTCTGAAGTTCTTCTTTGAAATTTTGCATTTTATTCAATTTTCCTGTTTCTATCTTCAAAGTTGTGTAAACTCCAAATAAAAAAAATTAAAAAAATTTAATTCCTCAACCCAACCATTATCTCTTTTCTGCTGAACTAGTATTATAAACATTAAAGGTTTTGGGAAGCAATCCCTTCAGAGAAGGGAGGAAAACAAATTACCGTGTTTAAGTATCCAGTTATCAATAACTTTTGGGTTATATAACCTATAATCATTCCAAGGCTTCAATTCAAAAATAAACTTTCTTGTAAAATTCATGTAATTCTAGGTGTTTTCCCTTTCAGTCCAAACATGGGTAATACATACATATGCTTCCTAAGATTCCTAGTCCAACCAGCAGCAGAAGACATAGAAGAGTCAGAGCCAAGGCTCTCTGACGCCATCCATGGAAAGGAGCAGGCGGTGCTGTGGAAAGCAAAATAAGCAGGCAGGCCTGGAAGTGGTATACATCTTAATTTCATTCATTCATTCATTCATTCAGCCTTTATTTCTTTTCTAACGTGTCTCTGGTAAAGGAATGTGTTTTGCTAGAAACTCAAAGACATTTTAAAAATGTCTTTTTAAAGAATAAGTAAAAAATACTTTGTTAGCTGTTTTACATGCAAACTGGTTCTCACAGGAGAGGTTGTTAACTGGTAGGCTGAGTCAAGACACAAAGAGGCAAAAAAAGGGCTTTGAAAAGAATTGAGAAAACCTATCAATCTGGATATGACATATCTTTTCTGTACAAATTGGGGAAACGAGTAGCTGGCAGCTAATAAAGAGGTCGATCAAAGTATCCCTTCCTTCAGTGGACAATTGAGAGTGCCAAAGAAAATAATTTCATTACTTATGCCCTTCCCCACAAATCCTGAGAGTTTCGTTGTGGAATATAAATGATAGGGTGTCTTTTGTAATGTTTTCATGTGTCCTCCCAGCAACCAGAAACATAGGCCAGATCAGTATCATTTCCTCATCAGGATTTCTTCATATTTTTAGCAACAAATTTCTGTTGGACTTTTTTTTTGTTTTTGCTAAACACTAAATCCCCAAAACAGATCATTTCCCTATTAAAAAAAAAGAATTATAAACTTTATATTATAAATTTGTCCTACATCTCTTAGCTGGTGATGTAATATTGTGAAATATGTAGAGAATTGAAAGTAAAATGTAAAACAACTTTTTAGACTTTGACCAATGGCTAATAGTGAAAGAACTATATAGTCAAGATCTTATCTAAGGTTAGAGGTATGACTTCAAGTTCTATCTTCCTAAGAATTATGTTCTCATTTATTTATGTATTCAATTAGACAAAAGTTATCTGCTCAGTACCTTCTATATCCTAGGCATTATTTTGGGTGCTCCCAATACAACACACAAGTGAGCAAGATATACAAGTTCCTGCTCTCATAGAAAATACATTTTAATTGTGAGAGAAAAAAATGGATAGATCATAGATAGAGATAAATAGTATCTATCTATAAGTAGATAGATGATAGAGATCTTAAATTGTGCTATGGTGTGCACAAATTCAAAACAGTTATATTATAGAGAACAAGTAGTTCTGATCTTATAGCCAATGCAAATGAGCCTGCAAAACCAGTGGGAAGAACATTATAAGCAGCAAGATTGTCTAGTTCAAAGGACTTCATTTGGGAAAGATCTTTACCTGTTTGAAAAACAGAAAAAAATTCAGTGGCTAAGAACTGTGGCCAAGGTGAGAAATGATGTTTGAGGAGGTCAAAAAGAAGGCAGGAGACAGATTATTGACAGGCTTTATTAAGCCAGAGTGAGGGGATTGGAGTTCTTTGAGAAACCACCAGGTTTAACGAAGACAGGAAAATAATTGAGCTGTTTTGTTTTTTGTTTTTTTGGTTTGTTTTGGAAAGATCACTATTACTGCATATGGACAATGCATTAATTGTAGGGCTGCAATGTTGGAAGTAGGAAGAATAGCAAGAAAACTATTGTAGTATGCCATGCAAGAGAGAACAGCAGTTTGCTTTACTAGGACTAGAGAATACAAAGAAATTAGAATCTATAGTACAAATTTATGAAATATTTATGAGAGATCTTTTACTTGATAGATGTGGAGGATTTAAATATATACACTTGTAGGCAGTACAACATAGTGATTTAAAAAAAAGAAGAAGAAGAAGAAGGCATGCCATGCCTAGGGCTAATATGCCTGGGCTTGAATGCTGGATCTGCTTATCACGTGAGACTTTGGACAAGTCACTTGACCTCTCTGTGTCTTAGTTTTTGCATTGGTTAAAAAAGAAAGCCATAAAATATCAGAGAGTAAGTGAATTAATATTGGTAATACAATTAGAACAGTGCTGGCATATAGCAAACTCCTGGTGATTGTATTAAATATGTATCTATTTTTATATTTAATGAGATGAGGATGATTGGGGAAAGGAAAAAGTTTTAGAGGAAAAATTTTTTAAAAATACAAAACTTGGGGCACCTGGGTGGCTCAGTGGGTTAAGCCTCTGCCTTTGGCTCAGGTCATGATCCCAGGGTCCTGGGATCGAGCCCCACATCGGGCTCTCTGCAGAGAGAGCTCTCTGCTTCCCCCCTCTCTCTGCCTGCCTCTCTGCCTACTTGTGATCTCTGTCAAATAAATAAATAAAATTAAAAAAAAATAAAAATACAAAACTTTCAGGTACAGTGTGGTTTTGAATGTTATAGCTTCCAATATTTCTTTACCTCTTTTCTTCCTTTAGTCCCCCAGGTGTTTTTTCATTTAACTTAACCTGAAAGAAAGAAAGAAAGAAAGAAAGAAAGAAAGAAAGAAAGAAAGAAAAAGAAAAGAAAAAGAGAAATTTGGAAGCAATATATGCTTGACTTGGTAGAATACTAAATGACATTTTTAAAAGTTCTCTTTGTCTCTCTGTCTCTGTTTCACATACACATACACACACACTACATTTCTTTCTTTCTTTACTTTTCTCCTTCCTTCCTTCCTCCCTCCTGCCCTCTCACTCTCTCCCTCTCCCTTTCTCTCTCTCTCCTATTCTTTCTTTCCTATATCTAGGCTCAACATATGGGAATTATGGTGTGTGTATGTATCTAAGTATTTTGTAGCCTCCAATAAACATTAATTTTTTCCTTTTCTAAATAATGAGAAACATTAATGCCATCATATGACTGCAAGAATCATTTTAAAATAAAGTATCAGACTATTAAGTTCTCCTCAACAGTTCAACCAAAGCAATCACTTCTTAAATACCATATTTGAGATGAGTAAATTTAGTTCAAAATATATCTCATACCTAAGGAAACTAAATTAAAGATTTATTAAAAAGAGCTGTATCCCCATTCAACCATAATATTCTCTAAGCTATTATTTTCTAATCATTCAAACAGTGAATAGACCTAACAGCAAGCTAAAGAGAAGTGATATAATGTGATTTTATGAATTTATTTATGAATGAATAATATGTCTAAGAATATAGTAAAATTTTCATTCACAAAATTTCCATTTATCGGACTGAATATTATTATCTCACTCTTTATCTCTAGTGATAGTTTAATATGAAAATAATATTCCTGCTGTTTAGTTTTAAGTTCATATTCTTCCACTTAGTCATATGTGCCTACAGAGGTTAGTATCTTTCTCTCTGCTTAGAATCCTTCTCTGAACAAAATTTGATTTGTTTGATAGTAATGGTCAAATTGGTCAAATTGAGCGGCTTAAAAGAACTTTAATTCCTTCTAATATCTGTTTCTGAAAAATATTCTCAAACTTATTTATTACTGCATTCTTTTTGATATCCTTTTATTTTTATTTGTGGTACCCAGAACTGAAAATATGATCAATTTTAAATATTAAATACATATCTACTAGACTAAATGTATAAACAAAAAATGATTACTGAAATCCTGACCAATTAAAAAAATTATTGGTATACTTCTCATCTTTATCTATTTTTAATTTAAGCCTCACAAAATAATCATTAAATATGTTGGTCTTTTCCAAAATGGCACAGGCAGCATACACTGAATTATGGCTGTAATCTCATAATAAAACGGGCCTTCTTATCTCCACTTTCTAGGTGAGAGCCCAGAGACTTCAAAAGGTCAAATGATCTATTTAAATGTCCTGTACACATCTGATGGACTCCAAACCCTCTCCTCCATAATTCTGGCAGGTCAATAGAGAGTCTTTTCCAATCCACACTCATGTATGTAACACTCAAGCATAGCATGTACTCACTGAAGTCACTGTTGCTCTCCTGCAAAATGAAGATGCTCATTTCTACCTCATAAGTCAGGAAGAATAGTATTTTTCACATAGCAGGAAAGATCTCTTGTTTTACTATTAGATACATTAGTTGGGAGTGGCTAGCACTTTCTTATAAAAAAAAAAAAGAACGTACAAAATCATGATTTTCCTGGACAACATGTACTCCCTTGTTTTATGGGGGAAAAATGTTACATAATCCAGTAAAATCAAACTATCATCCCAACCTAATTATCTTGACTATGATATTAAAACAGAAACATTGTAAAAGATCAAGTGTTCAATGCACCACCAACACCTTTAAGTTATTTTTTTTTTTGTAAAAACGGGAGGCTCAACCTACAACACATCCAAAGTTCAAAATCTTACCTTTTATCCCAACTCCATCAAACTCATGGATATTTTCCTTTTTACTGGAGTCCTGAAATTTTAGATCTGCATAAGTAATTTCTTCAGACATTGATGGCTATGAAAAGAAAGCCCAACAAACTATTTAAAAAAATAAGATGAAGGTGAACTAACAGAGTTGAATTTAAACAGGAATTGTAATTTTACGTATCTGTTTACAAACCAAAGCTGAAATGTGTAAGCTTTAACTTCTCTTTTCAGTGTCCCAATCCTGTCTGTATACAGAGGAGCTGCAGCCTATCAGAGGCCTCAGATAAGTACAGACATGGCTGCAAGACTGAAAGTCTTTCTTCCTCTTATCTCTCTTCCTTTTTTCTCATTTCTCTATAACTCTCAATGAGAGGAAGTTTTAAAAATTGTTTTGGTTAGTGCCAGGCAAAGGGACACAGATCCCTAACAATACATGTGCAGATATAACATAGAATTTGTTGGAGAATCACCTTCAAGCAGAGAAAGACGAGAAGGACACCATCCCCACACACTCACTTTTCCACAATAGTGGTCTGGCATAAATGTTCTGTATGTGTCATGGCAAAGGTCCTGACAGAGTGGATTTGCCTTTGCTGGGAGACTGTATGTACGCAAAGCACTCCTAGAGAGAGACAGAGGATAAGGCCCACTCTGTAACTCTGTTAGTTAGGGGTAAGTTAACCTAAGAGGAGTTAGGGAGCATCTAGTTTCTTTAGCAGCAAGAAACACAGTAAGGGATCTGGGGCCCAGAAACCACACCAGGAAGTATGCACACTGATGGCCGAGGTGGGTATACCAAAGGCCCTAGAAATTGCTTTGTAGTCCAGGAAAGCTGAAATAAGTCTTGCTGTCTCTCTTTAGACTGCCTCAACCTTTTTGAGCCAGCTCCCAGCTAAAGTATACCAAAAGGGTCATGCAAGCCAGGATCTTATAAAGTCCACTCAGCATTCTCAGGAGGCCAGGATCTGTGCATTTACTGATCAAGGGTACAAAGTGAAGATGGGTGCTTGGGAATCATTGTTTTTGAGTAAGTTCCTTCCTAATTCTTATTAGTAAATCTTATATATTCAGTCACATAATTGAAGGAAAGACTGCAGTGACAGTGGCATACTCAAGTTCAAAAAAGAGACCCACAGTCAGAATCAAGAGAAAAAACAAATATATACATTAAAAGGGGAGTTATATGACAGCATAGGACCCCAGATTGCTGCAGACCCAGCAATCACACGCTCCTGCAGACACGTTACAGATGTCACTGCATCCTGAAGGTTTGACGGTGATGAAGGATTGGGGGAGATGAACAAAAGTCGCTGTGCAGAGGACATGAATTCCCTTATGTCCTTAGACATAAGGAGAAAAAGTCTCCCTCTCCGGCCACGGGTGGACTCATTACAGCTGGCAATGAAACAGAGATGTTTCTATACTCCTGGGGGGAAGACTGGAAAGCATACTGAAAAAGTGTAAATACTTTCACACTGATTGCCAGACGTGATCTGCTAAAGGAAACTGATTATTCACAGTAGCGGCTTGCTGGACACACATCCTGTCTCACTTCATGAACGTTTCTTTGCTGTTACTTTCACCTTCCAAATAAACAGCCTGCACTAGATTCTTCAGGTCTCATGTTGTCTTTTTCCATTTTCCCTTTCTTTAGTCCTTTCTGCCCTTGAAAGAGCATCAATCTATCTTTCCTTTGTTGCATATTCCTCTCCTAGTCTCAGCCTCTTGGCTACCTAAGAGTTCCCAGACAGGCGTAAGCAGGGATCAAGCAAAACCCCAAACCAAGCCCTGGAGCACTTACTGATTTAAAAGATAAGAAAAAGTGTTCTGACCTAAGTAGGGTTTTCAGACAAAATGTAAGATCTCTAGTTAAATATAAATTTGGATTAAAAATGGTTTCTTTTCAGGGTAAGTATGCCTCAGGCAATGTTTTTTTTGTTGTTGTTGTCTTTGCAATATTTGTTGTTGATCTGAAATTCAAATTTGACTGGGAATTCTATATTTTAATTTGCTAAATCTGGTCACCCTACAAGCCCAAGGAGTGGATTGGCTAGAAAAATGGAGACAAATACGTATAGGTAGCAAAAATTCTTTCAGTGAGAAGGAAGGTTTATCCTGACCACCCACTCAGAAGTATGTTCTCACCAGCCCTCTGCACACATATCAGTTGACCTACCCACTCATTCCTCAGTCCCATGTGTTTTGATCAGATTTCATCAAGTATTTGGGTGCCCAACTAATATTTTTCAAATGACTGAAAGGCCTCAGGGAAGAACCCATAGGAAGGGGTCAGAGGATGGGGAAACAGGTGGATCTGGTGTTTTGTAAAGACTGTAGCCCTGTAAGTACCCACAGAACTTAACTTTCTTTCTTTCTTTTTTTTTAAATTTATTTATTTGACAGACAGAGATCACAAGTAGGCAGAGAGGCAGTCAGAGAGAGAGGGGGACACGGGCTCCCTGCTGAGCAGAGAGCCCGATGCGGGACTCAATCCCAGGACCCTGGGATCAGGACCTGAGCTGAAGTGGAGTCATAAGTGTTTTTTGTTTTGTTTTGTTTTGTTTTGTTTTTTTGTGACTGGCTTATTTCACTTAGCATTATGTCATCAAGATCCATCCATATCATCAGAATTTTCTGCCTTTTTAAAACTGAGGAATATTCAATTGTAGGTATAAGTCACATTTTCTTCATTCATCCATCAATGGATCCTTGGGAAGCTTTCACCTCTTGGCTATTGTGAATAGTGTTGTTATGAACGTGAGGTTTGTAAGTATCTCTTCAAAATCCTGCATTGGATTCTATGAGAGTATATACCCAGAAATAGAATTATGATCATACAACAATTCAATGTTCAATTTTTTGAAGAGCCACCGTAGTGTATTCCACAGCAGCTGCACCATTTTACATTCCCACCAATCCTTAGCATAATGTCTACATTGTAGCAATGAATCCTCAATGTACCCTAATCATCAGATTGAGCAGATACAAATAAGCATGGGTAAGAAATACACACACACACACACACACACACACACACACACACACACTCCATCATGGGAACTCTACCTCCATTATCTCACCTAAACCCAATTACCTCTCAAAGATCTCATCTTCTCGGGGCACCTGAAGGGCTCAGTGGGTTAAAGCTCTGCCTTTGGCTCAGGTCACGATCTCAGGGTCTTGGAATCGAGCCCCACATGGGGCTCTCTGCTCGGTGGGGAGCCTGCTTCTCCCTCTCTCTCTGCCTGCCTCTCTGCCTACTTGTGATCTCTGTCTGTCAAATAAATAAATAAAATCTTAAAAAAAAAAAACTCATCTTCTCATACCATCACATTGGGCATTTCAACATATGAATTTTGTAAGGACACAGACAGCCCATAACATATGTGTACATGATGTATGTTTATGTATATGCGTGTATGTATTTTTAATTTCATATGTACTTTTGCAAGAGAATGTATGTATTTGTTGGGGTGATTGTGCATTATTTCTTATGGTCTGATGGCACAAATTTCATTTGCCCTGATTTAATTAATTAATTAGATGACACCATGCTCCAGCTATATGTCTCAAATTTTAGTTTTACAATATACTTATGCATATTTATAATATACTTATAGTATTATTTAATTGTATAAAGTACAAACTTCTCTGCTAGATTTTCAGCCTACAAGTCACTATGTATAAAACAGATACGTATTATGATCAATGACCAGTCATGTCATCTACTTGTAAGTCTGTCAATGATTGATTGGTGTGCATCTGTCTTTAGTTAGCATGTAGACAATTAAGTGTAAAGTTATGTTACCTCTTCACCTCACAGTGATAAATTTACATGATATTTTACAAAAATAAGTAATCAAAAGAGGGAACTGTTCAATAATGATTAAATGCAGCAAAGAAATAAAAAGTGGTAATGCTGAAAGTCAAAGTCAAATAGAAAATGGGCAAATAGAGGAGCCCCTGGATGGCTCAGATGGTTAAGAACCTGCCTTCTGCTTAGGTCATGATCTCAGGGACCTGTGATGGAGCCCCACATTGGGCTTCTAGCTCAGCAGGGTGTCTGCTTCTGCCCCTACTTCTACTCCTCTCTCTGCCTCTCCCGCTGCTCACGCTGTCTCTGTCTTTGTGTCTCTCTCTCTCAAATGAATAAATAAAATCTTTAAAAGACAGAGAGAAAATAGACAAGTAGAAAGAAATAGCTGATCATGAATATATTGATATTTCCACTTTTGGAGAAACTCTAGATATGCAGCGAGAGGAATTTTGAAGGCAACCATCAACAAAAATAAGGGATAGAGTTGTGATGAAAAGGATGGAGATGTCCCAGAGAAGTTATATCCACGAATAATTTTTACATAAAAGGGATTCTGAGGTATTTCATGACATTCCAAATGCAAAATAAATAAGTAAATAAATAAATAAAATGTTGAAAGCCCATTCAAACTTAGAAGTATGAAAGTTTAGGAAAGCTTTTATGCTTTCTTTATACTCTCTTCTTTCTTTATACTAGCTCTATGTTTCAGGTTACACAGGAAGGTAGGGGCCTCTCCGTGCTCAGCTTTGAGGAGTTGGCAGGTGGGAGGTAAGGAACCAATCAGAGACTGAATTCTTGGAATTCTTTCTGTGGTCCAGCCAATCCTAGGCTGCTGAGCTCACACCCCTGGAACAAGGGTAGCCGTTAGTGCTGCCTGGAAACCATTACCGTTCCAGCTTCATAACAGAAGAGCCTTGTCTATGAGCTTTGGAGATGGAGAGCGAAAGGATTGAGAATAGGGATGGGATGGAGGTTGTCGAGCAGAAGATCAAGAGACCAGGTAATGGGGGGCCACAGAGATTGTCCTTGGGTACAGAAACTGAGCCTCCCGTGATTATCTTAGCATCCTTTCTTGATCCCAATTTGTGTACTCAGCACTTTTGTTTTTAATTGTCCATAATCTGCCCTAAATAAAAGCGGTATTCCTCAATAAAACCAAGACTACAAAGAAATGGTGGATCCACTCCTCTCCACCAGATTTTTCCCCCTCGGAAGAGGCAGCAATAAAAAAGTCCCAGGATGAAGTTTGGTTTTCTATTCTGGACCCAAGGCAAGAAAACTGAGTAGGTAAAACAGTTGTCAGAAATGGCACTAAAAAGTGGAGCCAAAGCACTTTTGAACAATGGCTGCTGAGAAGTTAGCTCTGAGTACCCTTTCTCATGTTCCCAATATTAATTGCTGTGTTGTGAAGAGTAGCACCTATAGAAGATAGAGAGATAGGTAAATCTTACTTGAGTTTTCTGTTTGCTTGTTGTTTGCTTTTTTCTCTAGAATATAAACAATGACATGCATCTTCCTTAGGTGTAGTAACGAAGAAAATGCTAGTCATGTCAAGTATGCTATGTGGAGGCATCGCTTTTCTTCTTTGGGCAATGTTAGGATTTCCTAGAAAATGTGAGTAACCAATTTCTGTTAAAAATACGTTAATTGTATTATCATTACTTCGGTCTCATATCAATGACTAGCCTGTTCTTCCCTAACACAGAATAATTAGAATCAGAAAGCATTCTCCCAGCCAGAGCACCTAATTGCTTTTTAAAGCTTGTCACTTGATTTGCCTTCTAGAAAGATTAATCTTTTTCTTTTAAGCTTATTTATTAAAGTAATTTCTACACCCAATGTGGGGCTCAAACTCACAACCTTGAGATTAAGAGTCGCATGCTTTACCAACTGAGCCGGCCAGTCGCCCCATAGAAAGATTCTTCTTTTAATACCTATTGAACTTTGGGCATAGTATTAGATGATGATGCTACCAAAATGAAAAAAAAAAAAAGGCGGGGGGGTATTTTGGCCTGAAAGGAATTAATCTTTGATGGAAGAAACAAGCACATAAGCAAATAGTAACAATAAAATAATTGCTAAATAGAAGTATGTTCAATTTGAAGAGGAAGAGGAGATTATAAATCTGCTTTTGGTAGTCAAGCAAAACTTTGTGAAGGGAAAGGTGTCTGTGCTGAACCTTAAGTTCAAGTAGGCATTTATGAGAGAGTGCCTTAGATGAAAGAAAGAATGAGAGTGTCAGAGAATTATGCCAGGTGTAAATGTGATAGAGTTAAAAAGAAGTGGGGTGGGGACTAGCAATTGTATTACTGTTCCTTAGAGCATTAACTCTCTTACTCCCATAGATGATTACGTTATACTTTTCCCTTTTCTTCAGAATGCTTCAGTCTCAGGTCTATATTTGCTTTCAATTTTACCTCATAAACTATAACAATTACTAAAAAACTTCCAAATATTCTCGTGACCACCTCTACTTGCTTACCTCTATCTCTACCTGTAATATACTCTGTCTAGAATCCTGGTACTGTAGATAGAGTTTTCATGTTCTACTCCAGTTTCTATAGCCTCTCACCTGATCAATTATGTGACTATAATAATATTTCTCTCTCTCTCCTACATTATAGTTTTTCCATAGTTAGCTGAAATATCCCCATCAGCAGTACATTATGGTAATATCTCTTACCTTAAAAAAAAATTGATTAGCCCTCACTCTTTCTTCACTATCAATTTCTTTCTTTTTTCTTCCGTTACAGCAAACTCCTGGAAAAATTTTTTTTGCTAAGTTTTTCTAATTTCTATCTTCCTATTTTTTGTCAATCTACTCTGATCAGGCTCCACTTCCTTTTTCTTCTACAGAATTTGTCTTTCAAGTTCATTGGCAACTTCTGTGTTGCTAAATTTAGTCCTTTCTCAGTTTTCATCTTACTTGACCTCTTTGCAGTATTCAGCAATCTCTCTTCCTGTAAATAATTTCTTCATTTAGCTTCCAAGATACCATTCTCCCATGGTTTGCTTTCTACCTAACTTGTTGGTTCTTCCAGCTTTCCTTTGCTTATTCTTTCTTTTCTCCCTGATGTCTTAACTTTGGGATGCCCTGGGGCTCAGTCCCTGGGCAGGTCCCTTCTTTACCTACCCTTGCACCCTTGGCAATCTGAACCTTACTTGCAACTTTGTCACACTTACAATGAACTCCAAATACATGCCTCCAATCTGTGTCTCTTAACTGAATTCCAAATTTGTAACCCATCTAGTGGACTGTCTAATAAACTTCTCAAGCATAACATTGTCCAAGCTGAAATCTTATTCTGGCTTTCTCTCATAACCCCTTCTTATCTGTGGTCTAATTTCAGGAAACAGCAACTTTGTCTTTCCAATTTTTAAACCAACCTTATAGTCATATTTGACACTTTTTAATGCCTCATACCCCTATTCCCCACATAATCAGCAAATTCTTCCTGGTCTTTCAAAATATAAATAGAATCTGTGTACTTTTCACCACTTCTACTGTTACCACCCTCTACCTAGCCAACATCCTCTTTTCTAAATGTTCTTCCCTCTTCTACCCTTTACCTCTTAGGGCAAGGTTGTCCAGTGAAAAAAATGAGCCACAAATATCATATATATTTTAGATGGTACACTGAAAAACTAAAAAAAAAAAAAAAAAAAACCAATGAAAATAGTTTTCATTGTATTTTTTGTTTAACCCAGTGTGAAAAAGAAAATAAAATGGAGCCATTTACATCAAAGTGTTCTAAAATGTATCCAGGAGGCCATTAAGGAGGTAAGCCTTATTGCGTATCCTTCAAAACTTTTGAACCAGGCCAAATCCCAAATATTCCAAGGGTTCTGTAAGACCTCCTGGAATTTGCTACACTAATGAAAGCCTTAGCCACCAATTATGCTTACCCAAGATTAGTTTTCTGCTATCAGCACCGATCAAAATTCTTTGTAATACATAATATATACAAAACTTCCCTTTTTTTTCTTTAAAAACTCCTGACTTTTGCTCCCTAGAGGGTTGCTATTTGGATTGCCACTCAAATCTATAAACACTGAATTGCAATTCTTTGATTTAAAAAATGCTTTTGCTTAGTTATTGCCTCCTGAAAATTTTAGGTTAATATCAGTATAGTCAATATATTATCATTTCACCATCTATCAATTTATTACTAATGATATTTTTAAAACTTTTGTACTAAGTTTTTAACATTCACTGTGTATCTTATAGGATATTTGGAGTTGATTTAGCCATATTTCAAATATCGATAGCAATGTGTAGCTAGTGGCTACCATACTGGACAGTACACTTCTAGAATACATTTAAAAATTTTTTCAAAAACAAATCAGATCTGTTTAAAATGCTGCTATGGTTATTCATTCATTTGGAGTAATGCCAAAATCTTGCCAGTGGTCTACAAGGCTCTATTGGATCTGGTCATCCAGTCACCAGTTACTTCTGTGATCTCATCTCCTCCCACTTGTCCCTTCACTCAGTCTTCTTCAGTCATACAGGCATCCTCACTATTTTGTGAACAAGCCAGGCCTTCACCTTGGTCTTTTGTACTGTTTCTTCTCTTTGTTAAGGGAGATCTTCCCAGATATACGCATATTCCTCACTAGTTCACTACCCTCAAGTTTTGGTAAAATCACCCTCTGGTTGATCCTATCCTGGCTACTGCATTAAAATTGTAAGACTTTCTACCAATAACCCTAATCCCCCTTAATGATAAACTATAAAATTTAGTAGACAAGCAAGTCCCATAATAGCAAAGATTTTTTTGGTATCTTATGTACACTGTTGTATTTCCAGACCTACAGAAATGTCTGGCACATGACAGAAGCTCAAGTGGTAGTTGTCAAATGAATGAATGAATGAATGATAAAAGTTGGTTTTCTGGTAACCCAAGTTCTGAACCAAATACTTGATTTTGTACTAACTTGTACAAACTGTTACTGTATAAACTTTACTAACTATACTGCTGGTTTCTTGTATCATTTGAAGATTTTCTCATTCATAGGCTTGACTATGAACTAGTCATTTATTTCAACTGTGAAGAGGTGTCCTTTTGGTGAGCTTTGGTTTTCTCAGGGCTATACCTGAATAAGTAACTTCATCTGTCTAGTTTCAGTAAATTGGAAAGTAAAAAGTGGATAGCAGAAAGGTAGTAAATTCCAAACTTTTTTTCCTTGAATTATTTTGTGTTTAAAAACAAATGAACAACTTCAACTTCTGGGGAAAATCTGTTCTTGAAAGACAATCTAGTCTCAAGCCAGCAATAGGAAGCCAACCCTCTGAGGTTATGGATACAGATAGTTGGTTTATTTACAGTGAGACATGTCCCAGGCACCTTAGTAAATTATACGAAAGGAAATGGGTAAATAGAGAAAATGCCAATAATATAAAAAAAATGGGAGGAAACTGGCTAGAGAAGATTTTTTGTTTATTGGTCTACTGTTGCTATATTAAATAATGCATACACCTGCATTTTTCAGTCTTGATTTATTTCATGCTATGTTCTTAATTTTTTTTCTGAGTTGACATTTGAAGTTCAATCATTTGAATTGAATATGGAAGTAAAATACATTTTCTCAATCTGAAATATATCTTTTATACTGAAGGTAAGACTCTTCCTTTCTCTTACACTTTCTTCATTTTTTTTTCTACCACTGTGTTAATTTTAGTTAAAAATCCAAGGATATTTAAAGACAATACATGCTCTGAAGATGAAACTATATGTCCACAAGGCTGGAACCAAATCAATAATAATTGCTTCTTTCAATCTGAACATGAAAAAACTTGGATAGATGGCCAAGCAAACTGCATAGCCTATCATGGATCTCTCGCCATATTCAACTCCAAGAATGAAGTGGTTAGATTTCTCCTTTGCAATATACATCACATCTAATTTATTGAGTAGCTATTATATGACAGTATCCTGTCATATAATATATATCAGCCAACAAAACAAAGATCTTTGCCTTTCTGGAGCTTACATCCCAGAGGAAGAGATAGGGAATGAAAAATAATCAAAACGAATGTGTAAATTGTATATTAGAAGTTAGTAAATTTTGATAAACATATATATGATTTATGTATATAACATATGTGTGTATGATATGAAATAGATATGAATAAGTGATATTCTAAGTGTTCTAAGTGGGTAGGTTGCATGTAAGATAGTCTTATTGAGATGATACTTAGCAAAACTATCGTGGAAAAGAGTTAGAGAAATATCTGGGGAATCAGCTTCCTAAGAAGAAGAAACATCTAGAACATGGACCTCATGGTAGGTATATGCCTGGAATATTCAAGGAACAGAAAAGAAAATCAGCCAATGTGCCTAGAATGACGGAGTGAGTGAAAGATATGAGTGATTAGGGTCTTGGAGGCTATAGTAAATACTTTGGTTTTCCTCCAAGTAAAGTAGGGAAATACTGCAGAACTATGAACTAAAGTGAGACATGATTTGACTTAAGTTTAAAAAAAAATCATTATCTTTGCTGTGATGAGCTAGTGGGTGGCAAATATAAAAGTAGAGTGCCATGTTACAAGGTTATAGCAATAACCCTAGCAAGACATAATGGGCCCAAGGAAGGACCATAGCACTGGAGGTAGTGAGAATGAGAAAACTCATTCTCAAATCTTTAATGAAACAGCACCCCATGTTTCATTAAAGGAATCTTTGATGCCCTATCTGGAACCTTCTTCATATTGGATTGGACTAAAGAAGCCAAATGCAAGCGCACCCTGGGTGTGGGCAAATGGAGATGCATTTGACAATTGGTAAGCTTTAATAACATTTATTATAAAATATGCTAAGCATGGTAAGGAATCTAAGCCTATAATCAGCTACCCTTATAGTTTCCTCCACATTATCTCCCCAAAAGACCATCAATGTATGTAGATGCCAAAGAGAACCTTCAAACAAATATATAGTCCTTAGTGAGGGTTTGGCATCAAATATCAACATCTACTTCTATATAGTAAATTAGACTGTGTATGCCACATATGTACCACAAGTGTTCTTTTAATCTAAGACTATATAAAAATCTAACTAGCTTGATTCTTGCTTATTTCCAGTTGGGGTTTTGTCTCTATCTGTTTGTCTGTTGTTGCTTTGGACTGTCATTGCTAGGGAGTCTGAGAGAGTGTACTCAAGTCTACATACCCCACACACTGGTGAACTGAAATGGAAGGGAATGAGTGAGAAAGAGAAAATGCATGCAGTGAGAAAGAGAAAATGCATGCTCTAGGCGATCTTTATTTAAAATTTTCGAACTTTTCGAACTTCTCAATGTTTCCTAGCTTGAAGAACTGATTATACCTCTCAACTCCGTTTTCATTTTTGAAACATTTGATTTTTTTCCAACTTCAGAGAGGAGAAAAGAAAAGAAAGAATATTGAGTTCCCTGTAAAGGGAACCCCTAGTTACAATTTATTTAGCATCTAATTCTGTGCTAGATATTATATGAGGGGTGATCCAACAAAGAAATAGCAGGACTTTCTAAAAGTAAACTTCTATTATTGTATTTATATCCAATTTGGGGTGAAAATACACAATGATTTGAGGATAATAATATAGCCAACTCTGAAAAATGTAAGAAAACTATGACATAAATTAAAATTTCTGACTATCAAACCTAATATAATAATATTTTCTTTAGAGAAAATATTGGCAGTTTAACATGATATTTTATATTATATATAGTCCTACTTAAAAATAAAAAATGAGGAAGAAGTAAAAACTAGAAGTTGGTTAAAGATGGTGCATTAGTTTGCTAAGGCTGCTGTAGCAAATATCACAGACTAGACAGTGTGAACAACAGTTCTAGAGACTAGAAATCCCAGATCAAGATGTCAGGAGGGTTGATTTCTTCTGAGGCCTCTCTCTTTGGCTTGTAAATGGTCATCTTCTCCCTCTGTGTCTTCACATGTTTTTCCCTCTGTGCAAATGCTTATCTTGTTCAAATATTTTCTCATGAGGACACCAGGAATATTGGATTAGGGCTTTAAAGATCTCTTTTTAACTTAATCACCTCTTCAAACACTTCATCTCTTAATATGGTTATATTCTGAGCTACTAGGGGTTAGATCTTAAACATCTGAATTTGGGGGGGGGCATAAGTAAGCCCATTGCAGTTAGCATTAGGGTAGGCACAGAAATGGACACGTATTTTGGAAATAGGATAAATTCTGAAGATATCCTAAAAGCTGGGAAAGTGCACACCAGTGCCACAAAGTTTCCCAAAAATGAGGTGCTAAAACATTTTAATTGCCATATAACCAGAAATCCATCATAACTCAACATTCTCTTTTTCTCATTTTGAATTTTTAATTGTGTATGTTTTATGTGACCTAAAATAAGAATTTAGAAAACCCTTCCTAGATATTTTATTTGTGATTATTTACATGTTTCACAGTTCATCAGGTGAATACTTATTTCACTATTACTATGCTAATAGTTTCAAAATACAGTTGAGGGAACATCTACTTCACCCTTTTGACCAGTTTTGTAAATGTGTGCAGGGGTGTGGGAATCAGTGAAATTTCAGTTATACTCTACCTGTATATGATCTTTAAATGGTTCACTATATTTACTTTTGTTCTTTTGTATAAAAGGAAGGATCTAGTCCTTCCCAAAGTGATTTTCAATGTTTACTCCACTGTAAAACGGCATCAAGTTCCAGGATTCTTTGTTGTCACTGCAGTGAAGTTCCTTGGTGTTAGTTTCTTAACACACCACCATCCCGCAGTGAAGTTTGGAGGCTGAAGAGGAGAGAAACAGTTCATTTCACTCCTTCTACTCTTTTTTAGTTGCAAATTTTGAAACATGGTCACCAAAGTTACATATTTTAGTCTGTACGTAGTTATTTTTCATGCGGTTCGGTAAGCAATTAACCTCCTTATTTTGTTCCAGGTTTAATATTGAAGGAAGTGGAACGTGTGCCTTCATGTTTAAGAATGGCATAAGCAGTGCCAGTTGCAATGATGCAATAAAATATGTATGCAGCAGAGAATCCTTTTGTCCTTAGACAAAGGGTCCTTCATAATAAAGTAAATAAAATAAAGACTATCCTTTTATGTGTTATAAATTCATATGGATACATTTTCCTTCCCATCAAACATATGCTTTAAGTTGCTTGATAAAATTTTAAATGACTTCTATCTTCATTTAAATAACTTATCTAAGAAGTCAAGAAACTAAACTGAATTTTTACATGATGTTGCTTCGCCACGTAAATTGGTGTGTCTAAGCCTGGGGGTATAACAGTGGTCTTGTTCACAACTGATTCAACAACATGCCTCAGTGGAACAGACTGGAGGGTAAAGAGGAAGGAGTGAAAGATTCCTCTGTCTGAAATTCAATTTAATTTGCCTACAAGAGATGAGAGATGAAGCATGAAGTGAGCACTGCGTGTTCCACTCAGCCTCCAGTGGTATGTAGCCCATTGAGAATTTGGAAAGAAGGCCATGGGACAAGTACTCAGAGATTAATTAGGATTTTTTACTTTGTATCACTGTCAAAGACCAAATCCCCTGAAAATACATTTATACAATCTTTCACAGTTTCCTAGATCTTTATTCAAGCTACTAAGGTGAAGAATTACATTACATGGATTTGTTGTTGCTGAAACCACTGAAAGAATCAGACTTTGGGATGTAAGTCATGGTGAGCAGAACATAAGTATTGAGAGAAGGAGCAGAATGTGAGGAAAGAAGCCCGGTAACTTGAAGAAATGATGGGGATTTCTCTGGTCTTTCACTAAAGCTGTGGGATTTAGATCCCAAATCACATTTGAATAGGAATCCAAGGGACCGAGGGTGAGGGTCAACATCTAGTTTTCATTAAAAATCTGTGCACATTTTAGTACTTAATGTTTCAGTCTATATTTTCTTTTTATATTTACGAACACAATAATTCTCTCTTGAGAATATTTCATCTCAATTTTTCTTAAATAATGAGCAAATGGAAGATTATTTTAGGCTTTGCTAAACTTCTTGATTGCTCCTGTTGGGCTTGGGACAAAAAAAGTAACTGCAATGCAAAATGTGAAGTGCTTTAATATATGTGTATGCAAGATTGTAAAAGAGCACGTAAGAGAAGAAAAGTTCTTCAAGTTCACTGAATACATCCTGTGCCCTTTCTGTGTCCAGCATACTTTGTTATCTCATTTAACAGACTTCCAAACAGAATGGGGAATATAGGTGTTTCTACAACACCAATAAAGAATATCCAATGAAGTGAGTTCAATGTAACTTTCCAGAAATCCAAAAAAAAATAGGAAATTCTAGACCCAAGATTAGAATCAGTTCTTTCTGATTCCAAAAGTGGCTCTTTCCCAAAGTCCATAAAGCATGGACCAACTGTCCTAGCATGATTAAATAAAACTTAGGGAATGGTTGCTAGCATCTGTATATAAGCTTCTCAGTTTTACAGAAATGAAAGAGGGCTGGCTCTGCACAGAAAGTTGAGGTATACATAGAATTCAGTTGTCATAACTGCATAAATTTGTATGGCAAATCCAGAGAGAAATGTTGACTCATCATTAAAGTAAATCATTGATCTAACCAATGAATGACTTAAAGATATAGATTTTTAAAAACATAATACAGCTTCATACATGAAATCTTCAAGAAATATATAGTTCTATTTTTGTTCACAGGTATGCTGTAAAATTCATGAGTAGATTTTAAAGTGATGATGTACCATAATATGTGTGTGGATGGATAAATAGATGATAGATGGATGATAGATAGATGATTGAAATAGATACACTTGACATAAATGCCAGGCATCATTATTCTAAGTATTTTTCATGTAGTATCTCATTTGACCATTGCAACATTCCTCTAGGTAAGTATAATTTACTCTCAATTTTACAGAAGAACTGAGCAACAGAGTTAAATAGCTTTCTCAAAATCATGTAATAACTGCACCTGAACCTATACAGAATGAATAATGTGTGTGTGTGTAATTACTATTAATGACTTGACCTTTTATAAAAATGAAAAGTGAGATAATTCCAAGAAATAGTAAGGAGTGCTTTAATAAGATGAACATTTTTTTCTGTGTGTTCCACGCAATATGGCACACAGGACTTTTTATTATTTGCAGACAAAAATATTCTGCCAATTTTATGATACTCTTGTGCAAACATACTTTTGGATGAGTCAATTTTCCATTTTTAATGATGTGTTCACTTTTATCTCTGATCTGAACTGATAAGACTGATTACTCACTGCTTCTTCTTGGATTAAATAAATGTGTTGATTGTCAGTTGTTTCGCTCCTGTTATACAGAAAGCTTGCTCGGCTTTTTGTGATCCACGTCTAGTTATCTTCTTTGATTTGGATCAATCACCACAGTTGCCATGATCACCCCAGAGCAGCATGATGGCAGACATGATAACTGGAAACATAGGACAAGTAAGTTCCTTTGGGTGAGGGAGAATGAAGGGGGAAAAAACAAACCAAATACAGGACAGCCTAATAATGCTGACCTTCTAAGGAGGAAAACTACTAAAGTTTATGAGGCAGAGAAATCACTTCTGTAAAACAATGCAAAATTTAGTAGAAGGTATGGAATTTTGTCTCTGTTAGAGTGTAAGCTTGTATGTATGAAGATATTCGGGGTGAATTTTATGGTGTGTGCATTATATGTCAATAAAAATGTTTTTTAAATGTACTTTTACAGCAAAGAGAAGTTATTTACCACAGTTTTACCCAATCCTGTAACCAAGATTGCTTTCTCTGTCTCAACCAGCACAGACCAAGGATGGATAGAAATAGCTAATATCCTGCTGAAGTGAATGAAGATGTTTCTAAATGTTTATGCTTGGGTCAAGTTGACTTTCAGAATCATTACGTGTCCAGTGTGTTTCCCCAGCATCATCTTGATATTATAGGAAATATACATAGAGAAAATCTGGAAGTGGCTTGAAGATAAAGAGGCTGAAAGGGACTTTTGAAGAAGTGTAAAGATTGACTGAGTCTAGCAGAAATTTCTATACTAGAATATTTTTAATGATAATATCTCTGTTTTACAAGACAATTTCAATTTTGAGAAATTTTAATTAGAAGAATATTTCTTTACTAAATATATGTAATGCCAGTGATTATTCACTTAGGAGTGGTTCAAGTGCTAAATTTATTTTGTTTATTTAATTTTTTATAAAATATTTTTATTTTTTTTTTTTACCACAGGAAAATAAATTCGGTCTTTCTCTCCATCGTGGATTTTGAGTGCTCATCACATACACTCAGGAGGCCTAGGTGGCTTTTGGGTTGTAGAACATGCAATAATTGTCCAAAGGCCAGATGGAAGAAAGCAAAAGCAAAAAGCAAAAAGTTTCCTCGAATGCATTTTGTATTTTGTCTCTTTACACTGCTGCATCTCCCAACTGCAAGCCCGGAGCCTTACCACCCACTCACCATTCATGCACACACATACACTCACATACACATAGAGTAGCCTTGGATCTCCACAGAGGGTTCTAGCAGCACTTCCTGTAATTTCTCAAGTCTGTGTGTCTTTCCCTCACTTTTGTATCTTCCCTAGGTTTTTTTTAAGGGTGGAAGCAGTATCTGTGGACTGTTAATTTTTTGTACACTAAAGAACTTGTTCAAGGATGAATTAATAGAATGACTGATTTTTCATATCAGAATTTGTATCCTCATGCCACTGAGTCAGTCTCTTTGATATCATTGAAAAATAAAACAAAAAAACTTAGGTTTTTAAAAAGTTTAGAGGTGTGGTGTATAAGGGAGTCCCGAATAGAGTTAAGTGTAAGGGGATGGGTATATTACTAGCAGTAGCAGAAGAAAAAATATCGTAAGTGAAGAAAAATATGAGCCTAGAATTTGAAAAAGCATACACAATGCTGAGCAGAAAGGTTAAAAGGATTTTTCATAATTTGATGACTTATACTAAATTTCAAAACATCAAGAATAAAGAGAAAATCTTGAAAGGCCTCAAAGAGGAGGAAACCACACAAACCAAATGAACTTCAAGATAATGAAAATCCTTCTCTGAATGGTAGGTCGCTCATCAGCAACAGCAGCTGCATAAAGAGAACAGAGCAAATTCTTCACATTTATAAAGGAGAAAATGCTTAAATTCAGGTTTTTAATTCAGTCTATCAGATGTTGGGGGAAATTTTTCAGATGTAAAAATTTAACGTAATTGCTACTCATAGACCCTTTCTAAATGAATTTCTCAGAAAGTAGAATCAAACAAAAATACAAAATGCAGTGAGTTTTAACTAGATGTGCTCTGGTGCGCTTGTGAAATGAGACCTGATGTCATCTCCGCCAGAACTAAAGCCCTGCAGAACTCTCTTTTTGGGAAACATTAGGTACTCAGGGGTTTGCACTGGTCTTCTGGAGGAGGGCCCACTGCACTGGGACTGAGGCAAGTGTGACTGAAAAGGGCAGTTCCATCAGAATGCAGGGGTGTGGGGCTTGGTGTAAGGAAGTTAGGCAACCAGTGTTGGTTACTGCATTGCTTCTTATAGGTGGCTCTGTGTTGGTTTTTTTTGTTTTTGTTTTTTAATTTTATTTTTTCAGTGTTCCAAGATTCATTGTTTATGCACCACTGAGTTTATACTAAGGTGTGAGGAGGTAACTGGCAACAGTCAGCTCCTTTGTTCCGGGAGATGCTTTCCCATGAATGTTGCCTCTCAGGGATGAGTTCCAAGAAGTGTGAATAATCTTCCCTTTCTGTGCCCCTGGAATTCTTGAGATCATAGTTTCCATGCTGTCTGCCCCCAGATTGTTGCCTACCTCCTCTCCAGGAGCAGCACAGTACCCTGGCTGTATTCCAGCCAAGCCAGCGGACCTTTAAAACTCCAGGCTTTAAGCTCTGCTCATTGTAAGAATTCATAAAATTCAGCCTCTCTGATTTTGCAAGCCAGTATCTTTGGGGAAATGTTCTTATGCAATCCCCTGTGTGCTCCTCTCTCTCTTGTCCTTCTCTACAACCACATCTCTCTCCCCTTCATGGCACCCATGATCTATTTCTCCTCTAAAACACATATCTTACCTCCTTCGATGTGGCATCCTCTCTCTTTTTTGTTATGGAGTTTTGTCATGAGCATGGTATGCACGTGCATACATGAGTTGTGTCTTTCCACAATGTCGACTTTATTCAATCATAAAGCAAAGTTAATCACAATTATAAAGCAGGTTCAGGATTTCAAACTCAATGACATTTCACTGTGTGATTAAACTTGGCTCCTTACACAGCACACAGAGCAGAACATAGGATAAACCAGACAAAAAACAAGATAATGAAAGGGTATAGGAAGTTAATAAACTAAACACAGTGTCAGTCTACGGGTGCACAGTTGAGATGAGACTTATCTGGTTTGAGTCAACTCTTGGCACTTACTGCTTTTTATGTTCAAGCAGTGAAGAATCTCACTCTGTTGAGATCAGTCAGGTGGAGCCTCCAGCAGCTGAAGTTGCCTTTTTAAGTGGTCACATGGAGAAGTCATGTCTGATGAGTCTGACAGTGTGCTGAAAAAATCCTCTCCTTTTTAAATGGATTTAATTGGTCTTAGGTCTCTGCAGACCTGTTTCTTATCAATTCTGGACTATCGATGCTGGTCCCAGCGATATCTCGTAGATGTTGTACCTTTTGTTTTTTTTAAGGATTTTATTTATTTATTTGACAGACAGAGATCACAAGTAGGCAGAGAGGCAGGCAGAGAGACAAGGGGAAGCAGACTCCCTGCTGAGCTGAGAGCCCGATGCGGGGCTCGATCCCAGGACCCTGAGATCATGACCTGAGCCGAAGGCAGAGGCTTTAACCCACTGAGCCACCCAGGTGCCCTTCATAGATGCTGTACCTTTAAGTACTTGTGTCACAGCTCATCATAGGTCCCTGCTTAACATGAGAGACTTCATTTTGCTCTCTACAAGTTTGTTCTGTCAGTCTTCAGGTGGACTTACAGGGTATTTAAGATAATTTGATAGTTCTTTAATTGTGTTCATGGGATGAGAGGAGACTTGGGTCTTCCTACTCTGCCATCTTTCTGCCTCCCCAAATCCTTTCTTCTGACATTTAAATGTGTGGATGGAAAACATTCTTTCTACATCTGCCAATAATTTGTCAAACAAGATGATCTTAATCACTGCTAAAATTATTACTTTTTTAAAGATTTTATTATTTATTTGACAGACAGAGATCACAAGTGGACAGTGAGGCAAGCGGGGAAGGGGGGGCAGAGGGGAGGGAAGGAGGCAGGTTCCTTGCTGAGCAGAGAGCCTGACACCGGGCTTGATCCCAGGACCTTAAGATCATGAGCTGAGCCAAAAGCAGAGGCTTAAGCCACTGAGCCACCCAGGCACCCCTAAAATTATTACTGTTTTCTTTTCTTCACCTCATAACATTTCCATGAGTGCCAAATCCCCTCTCTAATTCATTCTGCTTACCACAAATTACTACTTTTATCTTGGCATTTCCTTGCTTAAATGCATTAAATTTCCCACTATTGCTTAAGAATAAAGAAAATGATTTATCTTACATGTTTCTTCTGTCAAATGACCTTATGACTTTCCTTTCTCCCCTATCTTTGATTTTGTTGATTTGTGTATCTTTTGTAGCCATTTGTCTGATCATAGCCCTTTTGTTGAACATTATACTTTCTTGACTACAATCCACCATTCACACTATTTCTACCTTTGAAATAACCTTGCCTTTCCTCCCTCCTTTCAACTGGTCTAAGTGATCTTCTCCACCGCTGATGCCCTATCTGAACAGCTACAGTGGTCATTGGTACTTTCCATCTTTGCATTTGATAAGGCCATTGTATCCTTTATTACTTTATGATATAGATGCTTTTTTTTAAACTCTTTTTTTTAAAAGATTTTATTTATTTCACAGAGAGAGAGAGATCACAAGTAGGCAGAGAGGCAGGCAGAAAGAGAGGGGGAAGCAGGCTCCTCGCTGAGCAGAGAGCCTGATGCAGGCCTTGATCCCAGGACCTTGAGATCATGACCTGAGCCGAAGGCAGAGGCTTAACCCACTGAGCCATCCAGGCACCCAATATAGATGCTTTTAATGAGAGTTTTAAAATTGATTACTATGAAGGAGAATAAATGAAAATATTCAGGCAGGGTTTCTCTGCAAATTTTACAGTAGATATTTATTTGCAGTTTGCAAGTTGAAAAAATGCTGGATGTTATACCTTTGTATGTGCATCATACTTCTTATAGTGGTCATTCTTGTGATAGCAGATGAGTGGCTGAGCTCATAAACTTTCTATGGTTCTTTGTGCCCATTAGGGTCAATCCTATCTCAAAACTAATCCTAGATCTCTCAATTCTGAAGTAACAAAAAGGTTTTATAGAGACAAATTCTCAGGTTCCTACTAGTTTGGCAGGTTTTCCATACTCCTTGTCTCTCTCAAAAATACACTTTTTTAAAAGATTTTATTTATTTGTTTGACAGAGGGAGAGAAAGAACACAAGTAGAGGGAGTCTTAGAGAGAGAGGGTGAGGACCCCAGGATCATGACCTGAGCTGAAGGCAGAGGCTTTACCAACTAAGCCACCCAGGCACCCCTCTCAAGAATGCTCTTGGGTCTTCTCTTGATACCAGCCATTCTGACGGGGATGAGGTGATATTTCATTATGGTTTTGATTTGAGTTTCCCTAATGATTAGCGATGTTGAGCATTCTTTTATTGTCTGTTAGCCATCTGCATGTCTTCTTTGGAAAAATATCTATTCAGGTCCTCTCTTCATATTTTAATTGGATTATTTGGGGTTGTGTGTTATGAGTTATTTGTATATTTTGGATATTAACTCCTTATTGGATATATCATTTGTAAATGAATACATAAAGAAGATGTGGTATATAAACATAATGGAATATTATTCAGACATTAAAAGAATGAAATCTTGCCATTGTGACAACACGGATAGAGCTAGAGGGTATTGTGTGAGGTGAAGTAAGACAAAGAAATATGCCATATTACTTCAATTATATGTAGAATCTAACAAGTAAAATAAAATAAACAAACAAAAAACAGATTCAGACTCAAAAATACAGAGAACAAACTGGTGGTTGCCAGAGGGAGGGGGTTGAGGGAATGAGCAAAATAGGTGAAAGGCATTAAGAGGTACAAATTTTGGGGGA